AAGAAAAATTCGAAAATATAGGTATAAAAGTTGGAAAATGGTTTTTAGGTTAGTAAAAATAAAGTTATGGGTATTATGAGGTTAGAATATGAAAGAACAACATTATATTATACTATGACAATTTTAATCTTCAAGGTTGATAAGTAGAAACAAAAGTTATTAGGGAAAAGGTACTTTTTCGAAGTTGGTAAACAAGAGGTACACATGTAGTTTGGATGTGTAATAGTGGTAGTGATGGAATTTAAGGTTGCCAAGAGAATTTTCCGGGATTTTTAAGGTTATAGATGATGATGTCATATTACATGAGCAAGAAAAAGAGAGTAGTAGCTGTGAAAAGTGAAGAAAATGGGTGAAATTCGTGGAAAATGGAGGTTTTCAGCTAATTACATATGTCAAATGACGTCAGAATAGGTTGGTAGATGGCTCATTCAACGCAGAAGAGTAGATTACATAATGTACAAACTTTAAATCATTAGTAACGGAGGTGTGTGTAAAAAGTTATAAGGCAAATAAAGAATTGGTGTGAATCTCGAATTTACAGTCACAAGTCACATGTAACACCAAAAACCTTAACTTCACAACTCAATATCTTACTCATCACTCATCAGAAGTAGGTCATGTAGGTGTCAGAAATGATCAGTAACACGTGGGCTACAAGATGCACTTTAGTAATCAAAAATTGGAGCACATCTGAAAAAATTTGTAATCTCAAAAATTGGTTTTCAGCTAGTTTACAAGAAAAAAATCACCTGTATTCATCATAAGAAGTGCTGTACATCATATTATTGCGTCATTGATCACTTTTAGCTGTGAAAATTACATCATTTATTAGTAGCAAAATCATTACATTGCGTCATCATAGGGTTTTTAGGGAATTCTGGGCAGATTTGATTGGTTTTGAGGCTGTTGACCATTGTAAAAGTTCTAGTACATTGTTATATATAATTTGAGAGGGTTTTGGGACTGTTGTTCCCCTTTTTTCTTTATCATTTACGCCATTATTATTTTGTTTATCATCATAAACTTATTTTAATAGTACCTGGTCACTTAAATACGCCCTTTATTACAGCTATAAAGAGAAATTTACTGTAGTATCATAGTCATAAAGACTTATTGGGAATAATATCAATCAGATATTGCTTATTTTCTTTAGTTATCAATTGGGAATAACACTATAGCAGTGTTGATAGTAATACAAAGTGTGCTTTTGAAGTTTAAATACGTGTGAAGATACATTTCTCTGGTGCCTTATCAGTACTCAATACAACAGAGCTCTTTCTGATTGTGTTGTTTTGGAAGAGCAGTCCTTAGACAACTTCTACTAGTCATTATATTAGTAGATTATCCTCTTCCAGCTCTGTATAACCCTTGTTGGGTTATAAGTTCTACATCGGGCACGTGGCTCACATTGGGTCTAGAGTCTCGTTTTGATAGTGAGTCTTTGGTTTGTGTTTATTCGTGTCATAAGCTTTTACGCTTTGTCACTTTGGTCAATGGATTTTAGCCTTTTCTGGTGCTGGTCAATGGTTTTTGTTATTAAAAACCTTTTTGCTTGTGTCAATGGCTCATTGCCTGCTTTGGTTAATGGCTTTTTAGCCTACAAATGTGTTTGGACTGGTTTTGTTGTGTTCATATGACTGACGAATGTTTATTTCCGGTGCTATTCTTTTTTCCCTCTCCTTCTTCACCACTCTGATTTACGGCTTATAGGCGGGTTGGAGAGGGTGTTATATTTTTTATTACAAGCAATTTATTACCCTAGGCATATCGCCCAGGGTTTCGTCCAAACACTGTTCTATTGATTTTTTAGTATGTTTCATACTAAGTTTCGTGAGTGAAGGATCCACATTTCTAGGAGTTGGTAACTTGTTATTAACCGATTGGAATGGGGATTAAATTCGGTCTTGTACATGTATAAAAATACTGACGGGTTGGATATTGCTTATCTATTCCCATCCACAGCTATGATGTCATTCTAGCTGTTTACCACTTCACCGAATTCAATCCTTTCAATTGGTTTTTCTTCATCATCAAGAATCAACTCACATTAGTTCGTTGATATTTCGCAACCCACCCACCCTATTGTCCCTGTGATAATTTAGGTTTCTTTTTTGTTATCGTGGTATGTTTAGTTATTAATTATTTTTATTTATATTTTTATATTTTGTTTTGTTCGTTGTTGTGGTCCAAGAGCGTTTTTTATTGGTATTTAAAAAAAAAAAAAAGAAGAAGAAAGTTTATTACATTCTATTTCCTTCAGCAGCTTTTTATTTGGGCAAGATTTTTTGTGGTCTGAGTTTTATTATGTTTTGTATTTTTTTATTATTGCTGTTCTTTTGGTAGCGTAAAAATTGTTAGTGCTGTCGCGTCTTTCACCAATTGTTGTCGTGTTTCATATTTTTCTACATTTCTTATGTCCGCTAGCTACCCCAGGGTGTTATATTTTTTATTACAAGCAATTTATTACCCTAGGCATATCGCCCAGGGTTTCGTCCAAACACTGTTCTATTGATTTTTTAGTACGTTTCATACTAAGTTTCGTGAGTGAAGGATCCACATTTCCAAAAAATTTCTTTCGGATCTGCTTCTGAGCAGTAAATTTACGCAAATTTGCTGCTTAAAAAAATTTGGGATGTCGTATAACATTCCCCAAATTCATAAAATTTTGCGTAAATTTTATGAAATTGGGAAAAGTTTTTTACGATAAAAGTAGTAAATTTTTTTGACTTAGGCCCCCATAGGAGTTGGCAAGTGGGGATGTACAGTCATCTCAGAAAAGCTTGACCAAGTGACAGATTTTATTTCGAAAATTACACAGCAATACAGGCATATGTATAAGCATAGCCTTGTACTGGTACTGAATTTCAAACTGGAGATCCGACCGGATCAACAGCTCACCTACACATTCCATCCATACCACTTCCTTATCTCTTCATCAATCTCGTCCACCTCTTCTTATTTTTTCTAATGTCCTTTTAAGATGCCTTATGTTCAATACACTGCCCAAATCAAAGTCATCGCGTTAACCAAGTTCATGGCCGGACAGACTGTAAAATCCATCAACAACGACCTACTCACATCCATCTCACCGCGATCATTCTCTCGATGGAAGATCCTTTATAACAAGACTCAAGCCGTCGTCAGGAACCCAAATACCTACGAGCAACGTGGACGAAAGACCATCCACTCAGACGTCGATTGAGAGTTCATGGTTGAACTCATCAAAGCCGATCCGACTCTCTTCCTAGACAAAATCCAAGCCGCGATGTTCAATCACACTGATCACATCGCTTCTCGAGCTACAATTGCAAATGATCTCAAGGAACGCTTATTTCTCACCGTTCACAAAGCAGCCAAAGTTGACATTAATCAGTCCTTCGAACGCCAAGCAGTCTACTCGGGTGATGTTGCTCATTTAGCACCTGAGTGCTTGGTATTCTTAGGTTAGTGAACGTTTTGTTTATCCGTTTCAAAAGCTTTGTTACTGATGTGATTATATTTACCTGTTTAAAAGATGAGACTGGCATTCGACCTCAAGACGTGCAACGTGACAAAGTCAGATCCAAGAAGGGGGAACAACCGAACGCTATAAGACGTACTAGAGCCGGGTCCCACTACTCCATGCTAGCAGCAATCTGTGAGTTGGGATTACTGGCAGTTAATGCCAAGCTGGGTGCCTATCACCGACCCAAATTCGAAGCCTTTCTGAAGCACATTCTAGTAAGTCAATATTTTATGTTCAATTTTTATATTTCATCAGATTCATGAGCTGATTATCTTGAAATTAATCAAGCTTCCCGTCATGGCACCATACCCAAGTCAAAACTCGGTCTCGATCTTGGACAATGCGACAATCCATCGCCGTGGCGTCATTGAGGCGTTGTGTGCGGAAGTAGGCGTCCTTATTGTCTACTTATTGCCTTACTCGCCGTCTTTCAATCCGATCGAACAAACATTCAAGGTGTTCAAGGATGTTCTTCGTCGGAATGGGCTATTTGCTCAGGCTGTCGACAAGCTGGGTTGTATGATGAGTGTAATGAGTGAGGTCTGTACCAGCACATTCATGGTTGGTTTATATAAAACCTGTGGTTACAGACTCTTTGATGATGTTGTGTTTTGAATTATTTGTTTTCAATGAGGTGTCTCAAAATGTTGTGGATGAGGTGTTTTAAATTGTTTGTTTTCAATGAGGCGTCTCAAAATGTATTGTCTTTTTATCAAAAAATACTTTTATTGCAAACCATTCCGTGTGATTGACCAGAATAACACAGAATAGTTGAGTGAGGAAGATGAATCCACACTAGAGAGTGAAGCCTCAAATGTTTCAAGAACATCAAGTCAAAACTTTAAGATTTCTCTTGAGACTTTTGAAAGGTCTTGTGGTAATCTCATGTTTCAAAAGTCTTAAGAGAAATCTTAAAGTTTTGAATGAAAAGAAAAAAACTAAACTTGAATAACAAACTCTC